AACTCACAAAACCTGGAATGCTTTTGGCAAATTCAGTGATTTCCTGAACAGCTTCCACCGAGCGAAACTGGCAGCGCTGGAAAATACGTATGGCCACTTCTTTGTTTTGTTCTTGCATGGGGCCCAAATGTTTACACTTGATCTGGTCTTCTCCCATCATTAAGGAATTCATGTCATAAATGACGAATGGCTAAAAAAAAAAGATACAGTTGATGATCAGGATTTTTGCAACACGAAACACAGTGACTATCTGAAAAACAGGTTGGAGAAGACAGATTTAAGTATATGAATGTGAAGAACTCAGCTGCAATAGGTCTCTCAGTTTTCAAGGACATATTCTGAAGAAAACCATTTTGTTTTGGTAAATAAAGCCCTATGTTTTCCCCTCAAGGTAAACTGCTAAGAAACAGCAATCATTTAAAACCAATAACATATCTGCTTTATCATTTTGGAAACTTGTTACACCAGCATAATACTGCCATTACAATTAGGCTCCTACATTTTATTACTAAACCTAAACTCTATTTTTATGGTTTTCTGAATTTCCTTGCCATAGTTTTGTAATGGGCAATAAAACCCATGGAAAATGTATTGCATGGGATTGGGATATTGTCAGCTAATTCCCTCCACTCCCCATGATCATACACACATTTACTGAATGTTGTTAACCCGGGACTGGAATGTAACACTGTAATCCTCAATGACAGAGAAGAGAAGCTGAAATAGAAAAGCTTACTTGTATCTTAGTTCTAAAACTCATCAAGCAACATGGAAGATAAGCCATTATTCCCATAGAAATAGAAGACAGTAGCATTGTGCATCAAATCCCTTTACGGTATTTTATTGAATTTATCCCTACATCAATAATATTTATGATGAATCATTGATTCTTTAAAACCAAAACAGGTAAACAATTGTGATTGATGAACTGCAGATAGATAGACAGACAGACAGACAGACAGACAGACAGATATAGACTGACACACAGGCATATCTGGAAGGCTGTTTCATTGTGATCACTTCATAAACAATGTGTTTCCTCAGAATGTATTCTAAAGTCATCACAATGAACCAGGTAGCTACGTGGATGAAAAGTAGAAGGTGCTGGAGCATTATTTGCTTCAACTGGACTTTGAAGAACTGCTTTTAAAATCAAAGGAATGTCAGACATGGAAAATGATATATAGGACGAAAGGTGGAAGATCTGATTTCTGCTTTTCTTCCTCACCCATTGAAATCTCTTAAAAATGGAAGGGTTGGAGAACTCCCCAAAAGAGTACGGACCTGTTGCTACAGAAGATAAGAGGATTGTCAAAATTCAGATCTGTTGCCTATATAAGGTTAAGATTAAAGGCACCACATGATACTGCAACATGCACTATCCAAACATTCTTTCCTTTCTTATCCAGAGTTGTTAAGTCTGAGATATATTATCTAGCCAGTGCCTATCTGTTTGAATTCTGCACTTTAGTTTTTTTCATTTTCTATTATTTTGTTGAGCCACCAGTTCTTGCTGGCAGGCAAATGGTATTTTTTTGCAGATATTCCAGTGCACCATTGTTGCTACTTTGTCATGCCGTTGTTTAGAGTCAGTCTATGTAATCTTCTGTTGCGATCAGCTGAGTTTTTCAACTTCTTTGCAGAGGCCTGCATTTACTATCTGTTGCTGTCCTCTCAATTTTGGCTTTGTATACGTTTGTTCTTAAGGCTTCATCTTATGCAGCCAGAATTTGCCCCTCTGTCTTCAATTTTTCCTGCTCTTAGGCATTGCCAAGTCTTGTTATCTGTTTTGCCTGCTATTTTTTAATGTAATACTTTGCCTTGTCATGTCTCTTAACTATCTTTCATTTGGTCTTTCTTGAAGGCCAGTTTGGTCTATACAATACTCAGTGAACCTTCCTAATGTACTGGGTTCAGTGTATCTTCTCCACTGTCCTTCAGATATTCTTCCAATGTCCTTTCTTCTTCTTCAACTGTCTGGTATACTTGCAACATTCCACACCGACCTATTTTCCTTGGTAAGTAGAGTCTGTCAACATTACTGCGCTGATAAAGGGCATAATTCAATGTCATTATTTTTCTGTTCTTCCTATCCAGAGATTTTAGTTCAGTTTTAGTCCAGTCTACTATTCCAGCTGTGTATTTAATGACTGGAATTGCCCAGGTATTAATTGCCTTAATGGTATTTCTACCAGTGAGTTTGAACTCTAAGATCTTTTTTTTTTCAATATAAAATTTTTATTATTTTTCATCATAAAAAAAAACATCACAAGTGTTACACAATGCTATAGAAAAAAAAACCCCACCCCCCACCCCCCCGGACTTCCCAAACCTAATCCCAGGATAATATTCAGATATAAGTAAACAAATATTAATATCTCTAACTCCACAAAGTATATTATTCTACATAAGTAGGTAAAATATATAAAAGAAAAAAAAGAACAAATTTATTAAGAACCTAAATTATATTCC